CACACACACACACACACACACACACACACACACACACACACACACACCTTGATAATAACAGTGAAGCTTTGCAATAATGTTGCTCTGTACACGATGTAACAGACATCCACAAGCAGCATTATAATTGTAGGTCATCTGGATGGCAGACGTGTTCCTCCTTCCTTAATCACATTCAGATCTAACCACAAACAGGACAAAGTCTAAATGACAATGGGTGGCGACAGGAAAGTGACGTAATGTATTCTCATAAAAAAAGATCCAGGAAAGGTAATCATGAGACAAAAATGCACACAGGCGTTTCTGTTTTGGTCTTAAGAGAGACATGTTTGCTCAAACTTTTCCACTGCAACATGCTCAACGAGCAGGTACTGCTGTGGAGAAACAAGGCATCTTTTCTCGGTAACTTGGTTGAAAAATGCCTTGAATGTTGAATGTGTGTGTGTGTGTGTGTTTTGGGGGGCATAGATCAGATCAAACCAGAACCCATGAGCTGATTTTGGCCCACTGACAGCAGACAAACGTAAAGACAAGAGGAATCAAAACACTGGACCCTGCCTGCAGGATTCTATGCGGTGTCAGATTTCCATTTGCTAGGTAGTGACAAATTCATTCTTGGTCTGTGACTCATGTTATGACTCGGGGGGCATTGATGGGAGTGATTGCAAGTCTCCTACTGCGTCGCTCTTTAAGCATACTACATTTATCGTGGGCAAAAGGAAAGAAGGAGCCACTGGACTTCCTCATTCTGTCTCTGTGTATATTGTTCTGTGATAACTGCAAAAGAATTACTGTCATTAGCTTTAGTAAACACCATTGCAAGGAGTTAGCGTCTCAAAATGTAAATAGAAAGTGGAAGACATTTCAGCTGTCCGTCTCTGGCTCACGCCTCAAATGCCAAGAAACAACCACAGCTCCATTCCATCAGCTGAATCAGGCGTTTTGTTAAATCCTCACTATAGTGGGACGTCCTCCTAACAAACAAATGATCCAAGATCAGTGGACAAAAGCAACAAGAGAGTCTCTGTTTCTCCCCTTCAAGGAGAGTGCGAGCTCTTTTCAACAGGAATGTAAAACACCGGTATCATCACGGACTGCAGCTTTAACCTGGAAATCAATCTGTGCACAGCATCACCGAGAGAGAGAGGAGGCGGATAAAGAGAACACAATCAGCACTAAATCACAAGTCAGGTCTTAAGTGGTTTGAAAAAAACACTTAAACAGAAACAGAAACATGCTGAATCATCAACCTCTCTGCAATGAAGTACGTGCATCTTTACACACACACACATGTACAGCTCGTGACGTGACAGCTCTTCATCACACAGAACCACCAAAAACGTTCACTCTGTGAGTTAGTGAAGTCTGACTATAACAACCTGAACATGTGACACCTGCAGACCTAGATTTAGAGTCACATTTCAAAAGGTGACGTTATCATATCGTCATTGGCAGCAATGGATGCTGATGTGGTTTTGATAGCGAGCCGGTGGACTAGCCTGCTAAAACAGCCTGAACTGCCAGAAAAGGTCGGAGAAGAGGAACAAAGTGTGAGCACATGACATGTTTAAAGACAACGTGATGCCGATGTAACTGCAGTCAACGCATCACTGCACAAGTTGCGGGCTGCTGCCACCTATGAGGCATCGTTATCATACCGACATGCCCCGAGGAATGTGCTTCTAGTCTGTCTGTCTGGAGACTAGTTTGAGTCTTTTAAGCACGTCACCTCCTCTATTCGACATACTTATACTTGCGAGTTGCGTTATTACTGTCGTCGTAAAAGTATGTTGAAGTGGGTTTCTACGATTTTTTTACAAAAACAAAATGTTTGGCACCGACTGCGCAAAAACTTGGAAGTGGTGCAAGCGAGGGTGTAACTAGCAAGAGGGGAACTTTCATTGTTCGACCAAGAACTCAGTTTGAACTTAACGACAGAGACAACAGCAACGTACTATCACCAATAAACCGCTTAATAAACCGCGTGTTAGATTACATCCACGATTTCATTGTCACACGCGCTTTATTATCGCAGACGGGATCAATTTAACTTGTGGTTGAGTTTAGAAAGTTTTTGAAAAAGTGGGACGTTTCTTACCGCTCCCGAGTCCCAACAGCCTGCATATGTCTCTGGTGAATTTCATGAGTGCAACCATCCAGCATTATCGTCTCAAATATCCCACAGAGTATTTAGTCAAATGTTTAGGTCAGTGTGAACACGTTTAGTAACATTGGGACAAACGATACGGAATCTGCGGGAATCTTTGGTGGTTTAGTCCACTTCCTGAGCGTCAAACGGCGACGCTGGGTCCACCCTGAGCAGCGGCGTCTTAAAGGCACAGGACACCGTTATCAATTATTAGATGAACGTTTCAGTTCTAATCATAACAATGACCATTATATATCCCTCCTATGAATAAGAATTATAATAATACAAGTACATATACAATGTACAATTTTATTGACTTCAGGTGTTTTGTTAATAATTAATATAATATGATATTAATAATGTAGAACTCTAGGTACCACTTGTGGCACCGGATGTTTATTCCAAATAACATTACACAAAGCTGGAAAATACTTCAGTACATTTACTTCAATATGTACGTTGGGTTTGACAAATTTGTATCTTACTGGATTTCTTCTCCAGCTTTTAGTCAGATCTTATGTAAGAAGTGAATAAACATAACTCAACTATAAACAAGGAACAATGAAGCTTCAAGCTTATTTTTTAGGTTCCTCCAGAGTCCAAAGGAGAAACCAGTTTGGTAGCTCATGCATAATTATATTAAATTATATAATATAATTAAATAATGAATTATATTTTATCAAATTAAACAGTCACCCACATTATGTTTTATTCTACTAAAAAATGTAATTGTTTCATGGATATGGTCTTTTTCACAGAAGGATATTTTGACATATCATAGCAGGAAAAGCACATGTGTAAATAGTGAAGTTAATGATCGCTGGATTTAATTTAGCTGCTTCAGATTCAAGGTACCGACACTTACTGGGACACTTGAATAGAACAGTCATTGATCATGTTATTTGCAGCATCTGTGTTTTCCTTCCATGACAAAATAATATCAGTTGTGAAGAGAGCCTGTTAGGTTTCTACCCTGATATCCTACATAAAACACATCAGTAATCATTATACATAGTTTAAAGAAAATGAAAGACATAACCATGAATTAATTTTAATTTATTCATACAAAGTTGTTAAAAGTCCCATTGTATTTAATTAAGACACGTGTCAGTTATTCTAAAAATGCTTTCGTCAACATTAATATTGTGCTCATATCAGTGATTTTCTGCTGACTCAGTTAGATGAGTGGTGTCGCAACAGGATATTGCACTAGTGTTTAAAACCAGGAGTGAATGTCTGGTGGACTTTTGACATGGACGGCCTGTAAAGAGTCTGAAACCCTCTTTCATTCAAACATTTAGGCCCTTTTTTTCTTTTCAGATACCCTTAAAAACATAGCATGATGGAGAGACAGCTGATCAGACTGATAGTTGGAGTGAGTGTTGAAATTAATTTCTCAGATCAGTCAAATTCATACAAATAAGACAAAAGAGAGGTTGAATCCTGAAGAGCGGAACACACGCGGATGCTGTCTCATGTTTCACTGACGTTTCAGGTCACCTATGACAGTGAGCGCTGCATTCCAGCCGGGAGAGCCCATCACACCACCACCTAAAGAAAACATTAAACATACAGAATAGACACAGATTAGTCAGTATCGTTCAGTGTGGGGAAATCAGAAGCACTTTACTCAGCAACCTGACATCATTAAATGACCTCATTTCTTTATCATCAGCAGTGAAGATAAGATTTCAACCAAAGGTCTAAAGGTTCATTAACTGTGCTCACACCCGAAAACACAACATGTTAATTATTGTACTTATACTGCAATTTGCACACAACAGTCACATTTGTAATTCAATATTTAGCTAAGGGTTTAGCATTAAAAACAAACCTGGATGAGAGCCACTGCCACACAGATACAGCCCTTTTATTGGTGTCCGGTAGTTTGAGAGAGAGGGCAAAGGTCGTGCTAGGTAGAGCTGGTCCAGAGACATTGATCCATGGAAGATATTCTGATAAGATGAGACCAAAATATTGACTTTTCTTTTTTGTTTCTCAATATGATATATTATATCAGTATGATAAAAGGAGTCTGACATTTGTTTAATGGCTCATAAAGTTGTGCGCAGTAAACACTGAGTCTGTGTCACTTTACACAACGGATGTGAACTTTGAATCTTACTCATGGGTTGTGGTTAAACTGTCTGTAACCATTAACTGCTTATACAACAGGTCTGTCTCTAAGCAGAAAGTGAATGACAACACTGCAGAGGATGCAAAATGACTTCCTCATCCAGTGGAGCAATGGATCAACATTCCCATTGCTGCTCAGCTTTAAAATGTCTATACAGTGCATACGTACTCCTCCAGTGAGCCCAAAGATCCTCTCCAGGTCAGGGGGAGTCAGGATGTCGCTGCCCACAACCGACTTTTTAAACCCAGGGGCGTATTGTTCCACCCAGTCATATGCTGAAGAGACAGACAAACACAGGCTTTCATGGAAACAGGTTAATCAGTATCAACTTCAAACACTGTTTATCCATTTTGGAATTTCAACATTGAAACGTGGATGTCTCATTTCCTGTCTATATCTGCCGTCATGTGATTAAAAAAATGCATTTATCAGCTTTAAGCACAGCATGATAGAACTCTTGGATTATTTTGTGTTTCGAACCAGTGTCTGCATAGGCCTCCCTGTCCTGGTTAGTCCACTCCCTGCCCTCTATGTGGTAGGGGGTGAATTGGGTGAACAGTGACACCACGTGGCAGCCAGGGGGAGCCAGAGTAGGATCCAGCACAGAGGGGATGGTCATTTCCAGCATGGGTCTAAAAGAACAGACAGGCGTGATGAGACAAGATGATGGGTGAGTTGTTGATGGAAATTCAGCATAAAAGGATGTTTTTAAATATATATGGTGGCAGCTAGACCTTGTATTTAGGGGACAGAAGCCGATTCATTCTAAATGTTATCTACCAGATGAGGATATGTGAACATCCTAACCCAGTCTGTTGTTGAGTCATGTTGACATAAACGTGTGGAGAAAATATCTATTACAAGGCATATAATGTTATATATTTAAGACATATACATTATAAAGGTTATGTTTGTCTCCAGGAGTATCTCTTGCATGTATGGTCAGCTTACCAGCGGGATGATTTGGTTGTTTAAAGAGAGTCATGTGTTCAAGTGTTGACTCAGAGTGAGATGATACATGTACCTTGTTGAGGGACGTCCATTCATGGCCTCTTTGTATGCAGTCTCCAGTAGCTCTACACTTTCACAGTTGAGATGAATGGAGCACTGATGGTGGGGTCCTGGTTTATCATCTGGTGTGGGAGATGCTAGGAAGTTTGGTAGCTTGTCCACTGCCACTATAAAAAGAACAAAACAGGTCCCAACAAAAGAAAATTACATTATGTGTCATTTTTATGCACTTTTCCATATCTTTAAAGTGTGTGCTTCAAGTTACAATGTTTCCTTTTCGTTCTCTTTGGCGCTGTGGCAATAAGCAGTAGTTGCAGGTGTGTTTTGGGGATCTCACTTCCCAGAGATCCAAACAGTGTGTGCCTCTTGTGATTCATCACAGTAATGCTGCCACAGACACCCAGTTCGTAATACTGCAAAGGCAAGGGCTTTCATCCATGGGTCATAGGCTCAATTACCCCATACAGAGATGGATAATGACTTTACAGACATTTATTTCAATGAAAATCTTCTAGATTATTAATATTATTATTATTAAGTTTCAGCTTACTTGATATTTGAATTACACTCAGGGCGACTCTCAGTGGAAGGAATATGTTGCCCTTAACACTGCTGAATTCCTTCACCATTAAGCTAAGACTTTTAAAATAAATTCTACAAAACAGTATATACAATCATTATGTCTACTGTAAAGGATCAGCAGGCAGTAAAGACTTCCTGAGTAATAAAGCCCTACAGCTCAGGCGCTGCTGTAATTAACAAGCAGGAAGCTAAAGACGTCTAAACATCTTGTTAGTTGTGTGTGCTTTAACTGTTTTATAATACCCCAAAACCTTTGAAACTTGTGTTTAGAGTATCAAGAGCTTAGGCAGTGACCTAATCTTACGCTGTAATAATATAGCGACAGCACACAATAGTGGACGACTAAGAGCAGATCCCTCTGGATTCACTATATTTGTTTTGCCTTATTGCCAAGTCTGCCTTACAGCTTCTCACTGCTTGGCGGCATTCAAAAGTGTGTAAGTAGCGGTTCAACACAAACAAAAAGAGACCAATAGTTTGAGTTAAGTTTGACTAAAGAATGCAGTGTTTTATCTAAACATCATGAACATATGGCTGGAGAACTAACAAGTGAGACAGTGAGCCTATAGCAGCTAGTCTATGTGTCATCTTCTCTTTAAAAGTAACTGCACACTTAAACATGTTTTATAAGACGTAAACTAAATGATGGCAGCCCAATATCTTGCAAGGCCAATTCTGAGATAGAGTGAACCATTTGGGACTAATCTACGCCATGAAATAATAGAAACCTATGTTGAAGAAAATCATTCAAGTCCAGTTCAGAAGTTGCTGTGGTGGTGTGGGTTTAATATTGCATGCCGGCACACCGTTGAACTAACAGACACAGATCAGATCTGATCATATTATATATTATTTTGACATTCAGCACCTTTGAATACAATTTATAATATCGTCCTTTTTTTTAGCAGCAAACACAACTACTAGCTAATTACACTTTTGCACTAGCTCAATTAGCATGACAGAAACAGAACATATTTACCATTGATCTTGGTCACAGGTGAGGTGTAGTCTATCTGATCTACGGCTTTGATGAACTCTGGAGAAAGGGCAGCCTACAATGACAACAGGAAGCCAGAGTAAATTATATTGTCAGGTCAGGTGCCATGGTGACATGCGGTGTGTATTTATCTATATTACCTGAGGTGTGAGGTTCTTGAAGGTAACATATGGGGTAGCATTTGATAAAACAACTTTACTGTGGATCTCTGTGCCATCCTTTAGCACCACTCCCTTGGCAGCACCATCTGAACCAACCAGGACCTGTCCTACATCCTGCCAAGGATACACATTGTATATGCATAAAGACCAAAATACAGAGGCTACAAGTCATTTCCACAAAACAAACGGCATTCAAATCAGAATGATTAATCAAAACCATATTACCTTCTCAGTGAAAATGTCAACGCCGCAGGATCGAGCAGAGCTAGCGATGGCCTGAGACACGC